GGGCTGAGATGAGGCCACACTTGTTGTCCCCGATCTGGATGGTGACTGCGAGCATTCTGGGCTCCTGATGCACCGTGGTGATGTTTTCCTCCAGTGGCAGTACCGGGCGGCCATTGACAAGTATGAATCCATCCGTTCGTCGCAGCCAGATGGCTGCACCCCAGTGGACTTGGGCATCCGATGCCAGTCTGAGAAATCTCTTGCTGCAGCATTGCCCTCCTTTCTGCTTGGTTTCCTGGAGGAACACCACACCAAGTTCGTGGTGCTCAAATTGTTCCTCCATGTAGCGATGGTTGTTCGCCAATCCCTGCACATTGAAAGATCCAACTTGAAGGGCAAAGTCACCCTGGTCAGTCTCCGCACGGAGTGGCAACGGAGGGGTAGTCGGTATGAGCTCCTCTGGGGTGAGGTCGGACGGGTGGTATGGTGTTTCATCCCAGCATAGACCTCCACTATCATACCACAAGGCTCCCGTTCTCCTGGTCATCATTTCAACTCCAAGCCAGGAGAGGTCCTGGCTGATGAAAGCTCGAACAGTTGCGCTAGGTGGTTCCGCGAATTGCCGACAGCCCTTCATAGCGCTTTTGGCGATGCTGTCTGCGAGTTCGTTCCAATCGTTGCCGACGTGGCTTTTGATGTGCTCGATCGCAATGTTGATGCCATCGATTTCTCTCAGGAAGAGTTCGAGGTCCCGTGTCTGTGCACCCATAGCATTCATTGTCCTCCAGTGGCCCGACGCTGCGTTGCCCGCAGAGATGCAATCAATGAAAAGCTTGCATTGCATGCATGGGAATATCGAGCGAGCTTGCAGGATCCAAAGGAAGGCTGATGCCAGAGCTACTTGTTCCGCGTAGAGGGCCGGGGTGTCAGTCGCATACCAGTCGGACTGCGTGTTGCCCGTGATCTGGCCACCAAGCACACCCAGCACTGCAACCAGGGCACCCAATTTGCACAGGATGACCACAGCGTATCCACTTCGACCAGTGCTTTCATGTGCCGAGCCGTCAGTGTAGAGGTGGAACTCCCCTTGGCCTTGCAAGAACTTGGGCATCAAATCAGCCCAGTGGACTGACTTCTGAACAGCATCTCTGGCTGCCGGGTGTAGCCGAATGCCATCTAGCTGACAACCCAACCAATCCGGTGGCCACGGGTGGAAGCATGGACATAATTCCTCGAAGCAGTGGGGCCACTGCAGAGTCATCTTTGTCATGTCGAAGGTTGGCTGTGAAGTCGCAGTAGCAAGCGAGATCGATGTAGGTTGGGGGCCATCCTGGTGTCTTCTAGGTGAGCGGCTGCGGTTGACCGGACGGGGCGGAGGGGGGCCTCGTGGTCGTCCATCTGATCGAGGAGGAGCAATCGAGTCGTCACTCGTCCCAGAGTTCCGTGTGGAATCCATATCGTCATCACCCGAACCATCTCCATCATGTCCATCTTCATGATGGGAGGCCGGGGATGGAGTGAGTTCCCCATCCTCTTTCATGAAGAAGTTGAGGGTCTCGCCTTCACGGACACGCAATACTTCCGGGTTGTCAGTAGCTTCGCCACCCTCAATCAACACCGTCCAGCCTGGTACAACGGGAATTTGGATGCCCTCGAGGTACTCAACTGTGTTGAAGAGGTCGCCGGTGAGCAATACCCATTGCGGGAAATGGGTCAAACCTCGCAGATCCAGGAAAATGACAGTCGCCGAAGGGTCATCCTCCTTTGTGCTGCGCGGGCCAGGGTTCACTGCGACTTGCTTGGTGATACTCCTGCCAGCGTGACAAAGGGCTTCAGCTGGTTGATCAGGGACTTTAATCCAGCACTGATTCGGCGGATACTGCAGAAGGGTTTCGGCAAGATCGGCGCGATGTTCATCAGCTCCCGGTAAGTCCTCGTAAACTAACTGGTCTTCAGGCCCTTGGTATACCACATGTGGGGCTCGGTCGCCCTGCGGGACACCTGCTCGTGGGCACCACCACAGGGGATCGTCGAGCCGGGGCTGCAGTGGGGGTTCCCAGTCGCAGGGCTCTCCAATGAAGACAGTCTTGATCAGGCCACCTTGTATCGGGGCTCGTCCTTCTTCCCCAAGAGGAGATAAGGCACCGAAAACGTAGAACTCAACCGCATTCTCGTCCTCCTGAGGCACCTGCTTGCGTAGGCTCGCGCGGGTGACATTGCCCTCATGGTAGAAGGGGAAGATGTGTCCCCCAATGGCTCGGTTGTCGATTACCAGGACGTGTTTTCCTGCCGCGGGGATCCACGCCGGAATCGCGACACAGCTCCCGTAGTAGGGTCCCGCCTGTGGCGTTGTCGGGAGAATGGTTTCAGCCCAGTCCGGCATACATCTTGTGGTGCCACGAACTGCATCCAGAAATCGTTGTTGCGACATCGGGAAGGCAATCCCGAGGTCCACCACTTCAACCTCAAAGAAGGGTGAAGCGAGCCACACCGAAATATGTGTAGCCCGACGCTCCTCCTCAGTGAGCACCGGTGGGCCGTCATCGGTGCGCATGACAGGGATAGTGAGCGTTGGTGGTGCACTCTCGCCCTCAGAGTGCATCAATGGTCTTTCCGCTATCCATCTATCTTCATTCCTCAACATCTGCTCCCTTGCCGTAAGCTGTCCTGAGGCCCACAACTCAAGATCAGTTTGCCGGGGGACTGCAGGTAGGCGCTGTCTCCACGGCATCGTGGGATGGGGCTCATGCAGTCGGTCATTGTCAACGCCTGCTTCCGTAACAGAGAGGATCGCGAAGGCCAGCAGCACTCTCATGTTGATGACCTGCATTCTTCTGTGGACCGGCCTCCATCGGCAGGATCGTTTCGTACTCGCCGAGATTAGCACAGCCATCAGGGTCGCTCCTGCAATCAGCTGCAAACCATTCAGCCATCCACAGAGGGCCACCCGCATAAACTCAAGCATGTCCGTCATGATGGTCCGGCATCTTGTATCGAAATTGGTGTTGAACTGTTGGGTTTGTCCTGGGAGTCCTCTTCAGGCTGGTGTGGTCGCCAGGTATCTTGCCATTGCTCCACCCGGGACAATAAGCACAAATGGCAGTTCATACTGTCAACAAACTGCTTCGCTGAGGGGAGTGCTGTGGGGTCGTGGCCTCCCGCGGGGCCGTGCCTCCATTCTCCATAACCTGGGACCAGCCAAGACCGACCAGACATGTTGTCAAAATAGCAGATTGGCAGCCAAAGGAAGATGCCGCCATCAGCCTCGAAAGAAACAAGCAGTGTCCAACTGCTTACCAGCCTAGGGACAGACCGAAAAAGCCCTTCAGCTCGTTTATAGTATCGCCGAGGATGTCGACAGTCAGGAGTAACTCCATATTCTCCTTGGCATCCTTCTTCTCTAAATCGGCGAGGAGGTTCTTCTCGGAATCCTCTTGGATCTCCTGTGTTGCCCCCATGGCTGCAGCTCTGTGCTCTGCCCACTTTCGTGACAGGGGCGTGTTGGTAGCTGCGCCCAAGTTCTAGAGGGAGTGCTGTGAGGTCGTGGCCTCCCTCAGGGCCGTGCCTCCATTCATCGTAAACTGGGACCATCCAAGGATGCCCAGGCAAAGTATCAAAATCGCAGCTTGGCAGCCAAGGGGAGATGCCGCCATCTGCCTCAAAGAGATCGCGCAGTAGCCCACTGCTCACTAGCCAAGGGACAGACCGAAAAAGCCCTTCAGCTCTTTGATGATATCGCCGAGGATGCCGACAAGCAGGAGTTACTCCGCATTCTCCTGGGCATTCTTCTTCTCCAAATCGACGAGGAGGTCCTCCTCTGAGTCCTCGTCGATCTCCTGAATATTCCCCATGGCCGCAGCTCTGCGCTCTGCCAAATTCCGTGACAGGGGTGTGCTGGTAGCTTTGCTCAGGTGCGGCTTGCGTCCCACGAACTTGATGGGAGTCCTGGTAGACGATCGGGACTTTGACCTGGGTTCTCTGGGCTCTCTGGTGACTGGTGATGGCAACATAGTTGTAGTAGACGGAGAGGCCATATAGGGGTCGCGGAGGAGGGCACCATCTGCACCACTTGATTGCTTGTCTACATCCATTGCGTCTCGGGCCGGGGCATAAGTAGCCGCCGGTGGTGTCCGTGGTGCAGGCTTCGTGCCCTTGGTCTCTGGTGTGCTGGGACATTCTCGTTTCTTGTGTTCTTCCAAGATCGACAGGATGTTCTGGCGGGCTGTCTCCTTGGTGAAGTCGGCATCGTGGCATGCCTCCAGCAAGACCGTAGCAAGGTCCTCCTCGTCTTCCTGCCCTGCAGTTAGCAGCAGGCTTCTCAACTCCTCCAGGGCAGCGGTGTCCGGCGCCTCCTTGGGGCGGGGAGCCTTTTTCTCCCTGGCCATCACCTCCTTGAGATCTTCCAAGGCCTTCACCTTGGCATCGAGGTTTTCCTCCATCATCTCTGCCAGCTTCTTCTTTTTCTCTCGGTACTTTTTCCTCTCCGCCACAAAGGACTCCTGCAGGTTCTGCTGGAACAACTCCCATTTCGCGTCCAGCTGCTGCGCATCCTTGTCGAGCTTTCGTACCTTCATCGTTGCCCGCCGTACCCCATTGAGTGCCCGCTGGACTCCATTCACGTAGTAGCCATCGTCCGGCTCCTCGTCGATCGTCACGATGGCATCTCGAGGTCCTGGCGTCTGGTGGGCCTTCTGCCGGGGCTTCATCTCCTCGAAGCTGGGAAAAGTGGAGGGCTGCGGTTGGCCATAGTCCCAATCCTGCCAGTCTTGCCACTTGCCCTTGTTGCCTCGATTGTGCTTGCCCTTCACACCACCCTTGTATGGCTGCTGCCCAGAAGAAGAGGCAGGCCAGGCAGACATATCGTCCTGCCATGAGTGCCATTTGCCCTTGTCGCCTCGGCCCATTGACTCGCGGTACTGCGGTCTGGTGTGATGCTTGGAGAGGAGGCGAATGGCCCTCAGTGGACCTGGTCTTCCCAGGTTTCGAGCCGCGTGGATGGCCCGTCGGGCTTGTGAGCGCCGTAGTCGCTGTCGTCGGTGCCAGGGCGGTGAAGTCGCCGTATGGCACGACCGGTGTTGTGCCTAACTGCTTGGCACACGGGGTTCGCCGGCTATAGTCACTAACCTTGCAGTGACTTCGATCCGAGACCCTATATATATATATATATATATACATATATAGATCCATTTCTGCATGATCAACACATGATGGAGCCTGGCGCAGGTGAACAGGCACACCGAGGTCTTTGACGGCCAGGCTTGGCTTGAGAAGAAGCTCGCAACCGGTGGCGCAGTGGGTTGGGACATGGAGTGGACTCCAGACACCGGGGGCCGTGAGGAGAATCCCGTCGCTTTGATGCAGTTCGCAGATGCGCACACCGCCCTACTCCTACGCACGCACCGCAGTGGCAACTGGTTGCCCAAGTCCGTGCGGGATCTGCTTCTGTCGAAGAGCTGCCAGAAGGTGACCCTCGGATACGATGGCTCGGACCGCCGCAAAGTCCAGACTTCCTTCGGCCTCGAGCCGGAAGGTGTGGTGGACCTTCAGGCCATGGCCGAAGATCGGGGCTTCCAACGCAGCATTGGCTTGAAGAAGTTGGGCCGGGCCTTCGGCCTGAAGATGTACAAGGATCCGACCCTTTCTATTTCCTTCTGGGAGGCCTCCAGCCTTTCAGAGGATCAGGTGAGGTACGCGGCGGATGATGCCTTCTTCACCTACAGCTTGCATCTAGGATGGCGTTGAGAGAATCTGCCTGCCTCCACCCTGAAACCGAACACGCCGTAGCTCCGAACGCCCAAACCGCAAACCTTAAATCCAAAGTCCGCCGTTCGACCGACATTATAAGGGTTAAGGATCAACGGCTTTGGGTTTCGGACATGAACCCCCTCCGCCCGGAGCCAACCACCCCCTCCTCCTCACCTACAACGCCCTTGCAACCTACAAGATTGGTCTTCGAGTCGTTTTTTGGTCTTGTTAATCCAGCTATGACTCTGACCTTTCGACTGTGACACTTCTGGCTGCTAACACTACGAGTACTGCCAATAGTATCACAATACTGCTAGTACTGCTAGCATTACTAGCACTATGCTACTGCCAGTACAAGTATTGCTAGTGCTACAAGTATTGCTAACATCACAGCTAGTGCCCCTACTAGTATTGCCACCATTACTAGCATTACTATCGGCCACGGGCAAATTGGAGATGCGACAAACTTGTCCGCTGGAAGACTGCTTAAAGCCAACTTGCAGAAGTTGCTGAGTTTTAGGGTCGGCAGGTTCAGGGGCTCCTACTTAAAGGATCATGGGACTTAGGAAGTACAGTTTTTATTGGGGCATCTATACTTACAACCCCAATTAGGGTGCTTATAACTTATAACCTTACGTACTAAGTCCCATGATCCCCCAAGTACAGTGTTGTGGAGCTGAACCGCGCAAGGTACGATCGCCTGCTCATGTTCCAGGGTTCCGGCACCCTCGGCGCGGAAACGGAGGACGAGAGTTTCGAAGGCCCGGAAGATCCGGATGACGAAGCTTCGCTGCTGCCTCCCGACCAGCAAGGGGGCTGATAGGCTTTCACAAGTGAGACGGTATACCCAGACCCCCAGGGAGGATCCAAAAAGTAGATCCCTCAATGGCCTATAAAGTACCCTTAGTATAGGGCCCCAAATTAGGGGATCTACTTTCTAGATCCTCCCGAAGGTCTGGGTACGGGGTTCATTATGGGAGCCTGAAGACGGTGTTGAAGCATTCCTTGACTCCAAGGGTAAAAGGAGGGACCCTTAATAAGGACCCCTAGGTATATACCCTTAATATAGCTATGATATACCCATTATATAGCCCAGAATAGGGTAGGGGTCCCCATTAAGGGTCCCTCCTTTTCCCCTCTGATTGACCATCACTGCCGACTTTCCCGAACTGTGCGGGCTGTAAACCGTCGGCCCCTAGACCGCAAGCGACAATCAAGACCTTTGACCCTCAACCCTTACCACCTAATGTGGGAACCTGATTAAGAAACCGTGAGCCGAAGGGTTCCTTGAAAGGGGTCTTTAAGGGTTACGATAAGTGATCTATAAGGGTACTATAAGGGATCTTTAAGGGTAATGTAGGAACCTGATTAAGAAACCTTGGACCCGTATTAGGGTTCCTTATATGAACCCTGCTATTTTGGAGTTATAGGCCCAGGGTTTCTTAATCAGGTTCCCGCATTACACCGTAAACCATACCCTAGGCCCGAAAGCCCTCAACCCAAACCTTAAACGGCGAGGTCCTGAGGTTGGTTTCGTTTTTTGCTGTGGGTTTTGCGAGCAGTTTTAGGACCCGAACAAGCCTCTAAATCCTAAACCCTAAACCGAAGCCTCATACTCAGCGCTCAAGCGTGAAATCGGCCTCAAGCCCTGGAAGAGCGGTTTCCAAGCACCACGAGCAGAGGTTCCAAAAGTTGAAGAAGAGCCAAAAGAACCGCGAAATGAAGAAGAGGGAGCCGGCTGGCAGCAGGGGGTGGTTAAGGGCTTTGGTTTTCATGAAGGTTCAGGACTGTTTTGGAGTTTTTTGAGGCTTCAAAGCTTAGGATTCTTACGATACTTCACATCACGCCGGCATTTTTGAAGTCACTATGCGTGAGAATACCTTAGTGGCGGTTTTCGACGATCACACTCACGTTTGCCGTTATCTTTGTAGTTGCAACTTTGACCTGTGCGGCCCTGTTATCATGATCGGCACGTTTCAAATTTTCGGTTGGCACGTGCTTCTGCCTTGATATGTAGCATTAACTGTGACTACTGTTATAGGGTTGTCATGCCTGGTTGCATCCTCCTCCTCCTCCTCCTCCTCCTCCTCCTCCTCCTCCTCCTACTCATCATCACCCTCACCGCCATAGGCACTTTCATCGCCTTCACAATCATCACTGGCATTGCGCTTCATACTGTTACAGTCATCATGGCTAACGCAGTCGTCATCCGTATTGCCATTATGGTCCCTTTTTGGGTTCCTATCATAATACGGCGCCTTGTATTTCGGGGACCAAAAAGGGACCTCAATGTTGACAACTACCCGACTGTGTTTTTGTATTCTTACCTGCCTGCCCTTTCGCTTAAAACCTACACCATGAACCGTGTCGTTGCTGATTCCCGAGCCGGTTCAGTTGTCGAAGGTTTCAGGAACCAGCCGTCAAGGCTTTTGGGGGCTTAGGGTTTAGGGTTTTAGTGTTTAGGGTTGAGGGTTTAGGGTATACCCTCTGAGCCGAAATAGACATAGTAGCACATGCCCGCAGAGCCCTACACCCCAATCTCCATGTTCGTTTGCAGCTTGCATGCCAAGTTGCCCTCCCTACATTGCTTAAATGCGTGATTAAGGGGCGGTTGGCACGAATGAGGCTGTTTGACCTTGAGGACGAGATGGCCAAGGATGTCTTGCACGAGGCCTTCTTGTCTGTTTTGCTGCTACCAATTTTGCTGATTGTACTCTTGGTGGTGCTGGTGGGTAGTGTTGGCGGTGCCGATGGTGCTGGCGATGCGGCTGACGCCGACGACGAAGACCATGATACTCACGCATTGCTAATTCCGCAGGTGATGTGAGCGGACGATAACGACTATGCTGATGATGTCGTTATGTCCGTCAGATCGTTTGCTTGCTTTCTTTCATTCTCCTCAAACCCTAACCTCCAAACCCTACACCCGAGCCGTGAGAGCTTCCTTCCATGCGAGGAGTTTTGTCATCTTGCAAGGTCAGCAAGATCCAAGGTAATCACATTGGTCGTAGCAGCTTAAAAGCCCGCTTAACTTTCCGTTGCAAGGATTCTTCGCCCTTCGAAGATTCTCTTTAACACCGTCTTTACATGTTCCAAATCCGGCCTAGCATTTTTCCTGACATATCATAGATTACCTTTCACGTTTACAAGTCTTGTAGATTTTACCCTGCCTCCATTGCTATTTCTATGGTCCTTAGCTATGTCTTTACCCGACGCGTACTCGGCCCAAGTCCCCACTGGAAAAGTCCACAGGGTTGACTTAACGGTACCTAGCCGTGCTAAGCTGTTAGCCTGAGAATCTTCAGGTTATCAGCCGTAGTTCGCTCCGTAATGGATATCGTGCCGTTCGCAGCGGCCACGGGCAACAACGTGGACGGTGGTATTGGTGGTAGACAGGAGCATGAAGCCAACCAGTACTTCTTGCATTTGTTGCAGGAGAACACTCAGGTGAATGTGTTCTTGAATGACCACCGCATTCAAAGTGCCTTGGAGCATCGCGCGGAACAGAGACACCGCTTCGCATTGGACAACGTGTGCGCCGAAGCCAATGCATACATTGCACACCTAGAGGCAACTGCGGATGCGAATCATCGTCAACAGCTAGCATTTGTGAGCCAATCAACACACTTGTTGGTGGGGCAACTACACAACGAAGTTCGAGTGCTAGAGACAATCGCCCGAGCAGAACGACAATCAGCCAACGAGCTGCAGGCACAGCTGGCACGCGCACAAAGGGAAAGTCATGATGAAAGGTCTATGGCTTTGCAGCTTGATGCACATCGATCCGAGCTGGAAGCAGCAGCACGCACGCTCACTGCGGAAAACAGACAGCATGAACGCCGTTTCGCGGAATTGCGCTCAAGCATCGAAGAAAACCACAGTGAGATGATTGCCTTTTTAGGGTCTGAGTTTGAGGAAAAGCTTCAATGGGAAGAGAACGAGTTTTACCATAGGCTAACCTCTGAGGTACAGCAGTACGATAGCTTGGTTGACGACCTGCAGGATCGGAATGCGGAGCTTATAGCTGAGGTCGACTCACTCAGGACTGTCTTGTCGACAGCGGAGAGTAGCCCACCGCAAGGTGGTGCCGTGCCGGTGAAAGTCGATCCCAGTGAGAGCTCCAAGCTTCAACCAAGCCCACCGCAAGGTGGTGCCGCAGCGCCGCTTGTTCAGGGTCCTAGTCACTCATGGATTCCGACCCTTCCGAACCCCAGGGAAATTCCTGCGTCGCTTCGGACGGTTTTGGGAAGGACTCAACGGTATGACATCGGTGAGTATGATGATTCCAAGGCCCCCGGCGTAGTGGTATCTACTGCTGAACAGAGTGATAACAGAGAACCGGCAGACACTACCGAAAACAAAGAGCCTAGCGTCCTCCTCGCTGAAGCACTCAAGTCGGTTATCCAAAAGCCTGACGACGACAAACCCAAGGCTAAGGAAGCCGAAACGGTGAAGCTACCCGACTTCCCCAACCCGGAGACTTACAGGAGTTGGAAGATCACGGTTAGGGAGGCCGTTCGGGCAGCATCGGACAGACCCGATGAGGCATTCAAATGGGTTCAAGAGGTTTACTCCAGGGACGCCGATTCGGAGAAGTTGAGGGACACTGGTAAATTCCTCACTTTGGACACAAAGATCCTTTCGGCGCTTTCGAGGGTCGCAAGAGGGGATCTTGGACGACAGATCGTTAACTACAAAGAGTCTGAGGCAGCTGCAGGTAGGGCCGTTCGTGGTAGACAAGTTCTACTGATGTTCGAACACTACTTTAAGACCAATGAAGAAGCAGGTTCCCTCTACTCTGTGGAAGATCTTCTCAAGGTACAGCTGAGCGGTGACGATCTTAGCACGTTCATTCACAATTGGGAGTCGGTCATCGCGGGGTTGAACCATCAACCCGAGGAGACTACATTGAGAGATATTCTACTTCGGCAGCTTCGCAATTCTAGCAAGCTAAAGTTTGATCTGGAAGTCTACGACAGGGCCAAGGAAGGAACAGAGCAGCGCACTTATGACTACTTGGTTAAATGCGTGAAAGAGCTGTTGGCTAGAGATAGGACTCGCAAGAACCGGACAGCAATCGCCAAAGCTCACGGCGCTAGGTTTGGTGCCCCTGCTCCTTCCGACACCCCGAACACCCCTCGCGGCAGAAGCCAGGACAAGCCCTGCTACGCTTTCCAGCGTGGGAAGTGCCCACGAGGTGATAAGTGCCCATACAAGCATGTGAAGCCTACTCCAGAACAGACGAGGGGCAGAACACCTCCACGAACCCCTTCGAGAAAAGGCGGAGGTAAAGGCGGTAAAGGTGGGGATAAGAAGGACACTTCCAAGATTCCTTGCATCTTCTACCCCAAAGGCACCTGCAAGAACGGTAAGAATTGCCCATTCATGCACAAGGATGCCGCACCCTCTGTCCCGGCCAAAGGCGATAAGGCTGGCAAGGACGGGAAGAGATCGCCCTCCGGCAAGCGCAGGCGACCCAGTAAGAAGAGGCCAAAGAGTGAGGATAAGCCAGCGGCATGCTGTTTCTCCCTCACAGCCACCCTCACGGGTGAGCCATCGACTGATGCTGGGAAAGTCTACGCAGTAGCAGCCCGCAAGGGCCCTGCCGAAAGCCCCGAACCAGAAAGGTCCAGTTCCTAAGACCAGAGATCATTGACATTCCGCCTGAAGGTGAAGGTTGGAGTTTCGTTCCAGACAAGCACAAGTACGAATTCAGGTACAAGTCTGCGGAACAATGCCCACCATCAATTCCAGAGGACACCGAAGAAGCTTTGCAGAATGCCCGTCACTTGGAATCAGCAGTGAACGGGATGAGGCTTAAGGTTCGGGTCAAGTGCAACTACAGGTGTCGGGGTAGAGAAGGATTCTGCACGCACTGCAAAGAAGCAATTCCCCTGCCCCAACTTGCTGCAGCGGCGGTGACAGGTGAGAACCTCGAAATCATCGCAGACACCGGTAGCGAGGAAGATCTGATTAGTCACTCTGATTTGGAGGCCCATTTCAAGGGCAAGGCTAAGAAGGTTGCTTCCAACCCAGTGAGTTTGATCACTGCTAACGGACCAGTAGACGCTGATACCAAGCATGAGGTCTACATTGAGTCATTGAGGAACCCATTGCAGTTCGTTGAGCTCCCCAACACACCTGCAGTTTGCTCTGTAGGAAAGAAGTGCATGGAACAGGGGTTCTCTTTCCACTGGCCAACGGGTGAGGCGCCATATTTCATTTGCCCAGACGGTCAGAAGATGATTTGCCAACTCCGAGGCAATGTCCCCGTATTTGGCGACCGAGGACCATTGATGGCATGCTTAGCGGCAAAGTCCTCAGAGTCTGACGGCAGCAAGGTTGCACCGACCTCTGTCAAATCTGATTCGGGTTTTCGGTAAATAGCTGCCCGCAAGGGCATGCCGCACCAGCTAGAGGAGAGCACGAACATGAACCTGAAGGTCCAGCTGGCGCGGCAGGAGATCCCATCGAAAGGATGGCGAACAGCATTCCCCCCATTCCTGGGGTGGAAACAAGACAACTGCTAAATGCAGGTTGGACGGTCATCAACGGCAGCCCCGCTGCTAAGGTGGCTCATTTCCCAAAGACTTTTCGAACACCGGCTCCTAAGTTCCCAAGGTATAGAATCCGGACTACTTGGGGATTCAAGGACGACGTGTGGTCTTTGTTGGAGGATTCGGTCAACATTGATGAATTAGACGGAATCTATGGGGAAGTACCTGAAGGGACCATTGCGACTATCACATTGTTTGCTTTGCCTGAAGGGGAAGTTGAGGCGCAAGCCGACAGCGATGTCGAGCCATACACTATGCCAAAGTCTAAGAAGGACGAAGCTTCCTTGAGGGCTGAGGCGGTGTCTTTGGAACATCGACTTACCCATAGACCAAAGAATCCGTTCTGCCCGATTTGTCAAAGGGCCAAGATGTATGCGCCACAGGCGCGGAAGTCTGGTGGATCCTCTACAATCTACAGTAAATCGTTCGGTGACCACATCACGGTAGATCACATCGTGACCGCTGATGCTAAGGATTACGGGTTTCAAGATGAAACCGTGGCTCATGTTGTGAAGGACGTGCACTCTAAGTTCAGATATGTGTACCCTTCCAAGACAAAGTCTGGTGAGCAGTGCTATGAAGACATGTTGCACTTCCTTGGCACAGATGATGAGGTAAAGGTTATATATTCCGACAATGCGTTGGAGTTTGACTTTGCGGCCAGACAGCTTCGCGCTCGTCACAACACTTCTAGGGAGTATGTGAACGAAAACAAGGCCGTAATCGAGCGAGAAATCAGAACCATTTTGGAAGGCACAAGGGCCAATTTAGTGCAATCAGGGCTTCCCGATCGCTACTGGCCTCTTGCATCGCAACATCATGCTATGTGTCTCAACATCACTGCGAGGATTGACAACGGTCAGATTCCGTGGGAAATTCGGTATGGTGAAAGGTTCAACGGCATGCGCATCCCCTTTGGAGCGAAAGTCCTCTATTGGGCCCCGAAGAAGCAACGCAAGCCTGAACGATCCAAGTTTTCTGGCACAGGGATTGAAGGTATATTCCTTGGGTATCACATCCAACCTGGTTTTATCTTCAAGCTTGAGTACGTTGTCGCTCCCCTACACAACATCGAAGCCGCGTTGGAAAACGAAGACCTACGTGTGTTTCGCACTAAGAGACTGGAGCTACCCGATGGTGACTTTAAGTTTCCTTTGTTGCAAGAGCCTGCCTTGGATAAACCACCAAGCCTTGATGCACAACATCACAATGTCCTTGACGAGCAAAACCCGCATCCTCCTCTGGAGGAAGGGGGGGGATACGATGAAGCCACAATTCAGGAACAGCTTAGTGAAGACCTGGATGAAATGTTCCCAGAGCTATTTGGTCCTGATCGTGACAAAGATCCTCCGCCGAAGGACGCGAAAGAAGCCACCCGCAAGGGTGAGTCAAAGCCTGATTCCCGTGCAGCATTGCTTGATGATGTTCCGTTCTCTGTGAAGCAGAAGCTGAAGTCCAGCGCAGCAGTAGCAGCGCAAGAACCACCGTATGGTTATGCGTGGAGTGGGGAATGTTTGGTCAAAAAGAACAACAAGAACCGCCCCAACGCTATCGATCATACTGCATGGAAGACTATGTCGAAAAGACAAAGAGCAACAGCGATTGCAGAGCATGAGAAGAAGCTACATGAGGAGAATGAGGCACTGTGCCGTGAAGCTGTAAAGGTGGTACCTGCAATGCCAGTCCTACAAGGGTGTATCGAGGAACATCGGGAACGACTTAAAGGGCTATACGACAAGAAGCTTTTCCAGATCGCAGATGAGATGTATGCTGTTGTCGCCAAGGTCCTGTCGTCTAAGGAGATTTCAACAAACCCTAAGGCGCAGGCTGCCATGGACAAGGAATGGCAGAAATTGGTTGACAAGGGCTGCTGGGTACAAGGCAAAGTCAGGGAGTTCGAGTCGGTTGCCAACGAAGCTAAGAAGTCTCAAACCAAGGTGCACTTTGGCAATGTTTTTGAGATTGGTACCCTAAAGGGAGCCGAGCTGAAAGAAGGTGACCCTAATCGTAAGTATAAGGGACGTTCGGTATTTCAGGGAAACAAAGTACTTGACGAAAACGCCGATCACGCGCTCTTCGCGGAGATGTCAAGCAGTCCTGCATCTATGGAAGCAGGAAAGATCCTAGACGTCTTCGGCTCCCAACCTGGTTATGTCATCCAGCAGGCCGATGCTAAGCAAGCATACACCCAAGCCTTGTTCCAAGGAGTTGCCACTTGGGTACGGTTGCCTCGCAATCGCTGGCCTAAGGCGTGGCAGGGCATGAAAGATCCTGTCGTTCCACTCAAGCTGGCACTTTACGGACACCCCGATTCAGGGGGGATTTGGGAACATCACTGTGAAGCTGAGTTGAAGAAAGTCGGGTTCGAGGCAGTATTGACTGACATTTGGAAGAGTGTATTCTACCACCCGAAGAAGAAGCTGCTTTTAGTGGTTTACGTCGATGACTTTAAGCTCGCTGGCCCTAAGAACTCTATCAAGGAGGGATGGGACTTGATCTCGAGCGTCATTGATATGGATCTTCCGGAAGTCATTGGTAGATACTTTGGGTGTATGCACAAGGAAGAACACAACCTCAAGCTGCCCAAGGAAGCACACCCTTTTCGTCACGTGTTTGAGCCCGAACCATCAGCTGCAACTCCTGCTAGAAAAGAAGATTATTGGGACATTGACCCTGAGAATCTCATAGCAATCCGACATCACCGTTATCCTCGCAAAAGACTATATGTCCCCAACGAGGATGATGCTAGAATGTTCCCGGGGATTGGCCCTCGGCGATACACCGTGGTGGCTAAAGCCACCCGCAAGGGTGAGTCGGAGGAAGTTGTTGTTGACAGTTGCAATCAAATGCGCGATCGCTGTCTTCAGGATTGGTGGGACGGCGAAACCTACTTCGACCTCGCAGGCCGGGAACAGTCTGATTTCGAGCTGGCAGTTGCAGCTGCCCGCAAGGGCAAGCCGGTTCGTAACAAGTCTGAGGCTAAAAAGGAGGCGAAGCAGAGCAAGTTCGTTACCTTGTCGCAAGACATGAAAGTGAAGCCCGGTGCAATGACCAAGCCAGTCACTCGCATCACGTACGACATGAAGGACTTCCTTGATTCTTGCGTTGATCGGTACTGTGAGCTTGCTAAGGTAGAGCGTAAGACCCTGAAACCTGCTGCAACCCCCTTCCATGAGCTACGTGTGGCTTTGCCAACAGCTTCCGAAGGAGAGAAGGCAGGGCGCTTGCAACCTATTGCTAGTAAGGTATTAATGAAGATTTTGTTCGCTGCTCGCATGGCAAGATGGGATCTTCTAAGGGCAACGCAGTCTTTGGCGTCGAGGGTGACCAAGTGGAGTCCAGATTGCGATTTGGGACTTCACAGGTTGGTTTGCTACATAAACTCTTCGCTTGATGTCACAATGAGCGGTTTCATAGGTGACAGCATAATGGATTGCAGACTTTGGTTGTTCAGCGATTCCGACTTTGCGGGCGAATTCGATTCAAAATCAACTACAGGATGTGCGATGTTTTTGGTCGGACCAAACACGTACTTTCCCCTCAATGCCTTCAGCAAGAAACAAACATCCATCACAATGAGCTCTACTGAGTCCGAAGTGGTAGCGGCAAACCACGGGTTACGTGCCGAAGGTCTACCTTGCCTGAGCTTGTGGTATTTCCTATGGCGTGGAGATGCCGGCCGCAAGGCCGAGCCAAGGGCTGAGAGGGTAGATTCGATTGTTGCACGCATTGATCCTGAACTTGACGAAATTCGTTATGGGTCCACTAGACCAGATGGGTTGTCAATCGCAGACATCAACGGCCTCTGTGCCCAACTACCTGAAAGTTTCGAGGTTAGACACATGGAGGATAACCAGGCGACTATCACTCTTTTGTTGCTAGGGCAAGCTGGTGTTCTACGACACACTGATCGGACACAGAGGGTGAGTTTCTCATGGCTAAAGCAGCAGTATGAGGTTGGGCATTTCAAGCTACTGAATGTTGGTACAGCCGAACAAGTGGCGGATGTGTTCACGAAGCCTTTCACTGAAAAGAACAAGTGGACGCATGCCTTGAAGCTTATTGGACATACAACCAGCGCGAACATAGCCGGGTGCAAACCCGAGTCGAAGGTTGAGGTCGACAACAAGGTTTCGGTAGCAGCAGCTCCGGATGCAGCAAAGATCGTCGAGGACTTCGCTAAACAATCGTTCGAGGCTAACGATTACAGCTTCAAGACCTTCGAGAAGCTAGCTGGGCTCATACGTACCAATCTCAAGGCATCATTGGCAAAACCGCGATCATTTATGGCTTCTGAGAAGATATCCAAATACTTGGTATTCGGCGCTTGGGTCCATGGTGGGTGCTTTGGTATTACCAATCGCACAAAACATTATCCATGGATTTGCAGGTATGTGAATGAATTTGTTAAGCGATCATCTCCGAAAGGGTTTACATGGACTTCGTTCGTGTTCAACTTCAATGGCAAGGCCCGCATCCACACGGATAAGTACAATCAGAAAGAATCGTACAACCTGACGTTCTCCTTCGGTAACTATACAGGGGGGACACTGTGGATTGAGGGCGCGAGCCAGTTGGGACCACCGGGAATATACACAGATGATCATGGCAAAGACCACAAAGGCTACAACTGCAATACGTACCGCAAGCCTACTCTGTTGCATCCTTCAACAAAACATGGTGTACAACCCTACACTGGCGAACGACATTCCTTCATCGCCTACTCGTCAGGGGGGTACCAGAAGTTCAACAAAAAGCAAAAGCAATTCCTACATCAATCACAGTTCCTCTTGCCTACGGCTCAGTTGAAGCTCCCAGCTCAGAAGGCAATGGTTTGTTTGAGGTGTGTTGGTTCCCCTCTCGATGAGGGGGGTAGGCTTAACAAACCGTGTTCTCGTTTCGAAAATGATTCGTTTGCACGCACATCGCTCGAGTGCACAAACACACAACAAGCTGCAAGCCTTGACCATGAAATCTTGGCTTCCTTTATGTGCACGCCTGCCATTGCAACTTCAGCTGGCTCTGATCTTCCTGACTTGCCCGAAGCGACTTCTACGATCCCCAGGATGGCAGCCATCGTTGTGAGCGACGAGTTCTGCAGGGTCAACACCTCCGAAGCAGACAGGGCTGGAGTAACCAAGGCCATGAAAACCCTTCTCCAATCCGCCGCCCTCAACAACGATATCATTTCGCTAGGCGCCGATCACGAGAGCCAGCTCCTGGAGTCGGCATACAGCTGCGTATCCACACAATGCGCGGCTGGGGTGTCATTGACCCATGCCGACGCGACCTGTGTGGCGCTGCGCCAGATGGCTGACCTCAGCGACGAGGGACTCGCCAAGTTGAAGCCAACCGCAAGGTTGAGCCCCAAGGCCAAGCGAGCCATCATTGTCGTGTCAGACAGCTCCACCGCACTTTGCAAGAAGAACAGACGGGGAGTGTTCGTCAAGGCCGACTTGGATGCGGAAGTGAACATCGCAAGCATGACGCTGGGATGGGCACAGACTCGCTACACTATGTGTTGGGGCAAAACCTTGGCGTGGATTGTCTGGCAGGTCGAGGAACACATCAAGGAGCTTCGCATCAACTATCCGGGCCACACCATCGACGTACTTTGCTGGTGGTGTGGAAATGAGATCTCCGGCCAGTGGGGCTGCATCCCCACACGGCTTGGACCGGGACTCGCCTACAGAGATCCCAATGTCACGACGGAGACCGTCGCCCGGAAGGTGAGAAGGGCCGCAGATGTTTTAGCCGCCCTCGCGGGCGAGCCGGACATTGGTTTCGTGAAGGTGATTGGGCAGGTGGAGGCGGACTTGTTCCAACTCCACTCAGCATACAACGACTTCAATGCCGCTATGTTCGAGGAGTTCAGACAGCGCGGTCTGCAAGTGCAGGCTGCGAGCTACTTGGTCGAAAAGCTGGAAATGTATGACAGCTTCCACGCCAGTGAAGATCCTCGCAACCGCGAGTTATTCCAGACCTACTTGCATGCCACTTTCAATGCAAGCAGGAGCGAGTGGCTTGCCCAGAAAATGACACCCTGTGTCAGGGCTCTGCTCGCTCGCTATGAGCACTTCGAGACTGGCTCCGGTGCCAACAACCCGGTGCTCGAGGATGTCTTCCAGCAGTGGCGTGCGGAGAGGGACCAGCTTATGAACCCGAAGCAGGCGAAGCCAATGCCGGTTACCCAGGAGGACAAGATGTGGGAAGCCCCAGATGCCGCTGACGCAACCGACGTCACCAAGGTCTCCGAGGGACCACCCATGGATAAAGCCATCCGCAAGGATGTGCCAAGGATCGGTGCAACCACTGATGTGAGTTCTGTTGCGGAGTGCGTCAATGACATCGTCACTCAGGACGCAGATGGTAAGGTATCCTACAATACCCCAGGCACGGTGGAGTTGGTTGATGAGGGAGACCAAGTCGACCCCATCCCATCATCGATTGGCAGAGTTATCGAGCCCGCGGCACCCAAGAAGACCAAGAAGTCTGACTGCGATGAGGACGCCATGCGAAGGCTCATGTTCATCGATGAAAGCGCCCCGCAAGGGGCTGCCACTGTGCCGGAGCTTCCGAATGAGTACTTCTACAACGGTGCCAAGCACCTCATGAAGCCCTTCAATCCGGAGGACATTGTAGGAGACAGGCACGTGACTTTCAAACACGGTGACCTGAAGTTCCTCACCAAATTGCTCCGCGGCCATGAATTGGAGAACTTCCCTGCACTGATCTTTGACCGTGGGTGCTGGACAGACGTTGACACTCTGCTCCAGGTCTTCAACACGGCACGGAACGCACGTTGGGGCGTGAGGCAGCTGCTACGCGCAGCGAAAGCCGATAACAAGGGACGGATCAGGCTTTTGGGCATCAATGCCGGGCCAGCCGCTATTCCCTGTACGTGTGAGGATGGCCCAAGGGCATAACTCCAAGCTTATCGGCAATAACCCGGACGCCGACTTCTTCCTCGCGACCAGGTTCTACAGCGGATTGTCCGAGTTCGACGCTGATCTGCAAAGCAGCGTCAGGGGGGTCACCGTACTATCCCGCGATGACACGCCCTCCAAGCTCTACCATCGCACGAATGAGAAGGGCATGAAGGGCATCCTCCGCGACGGCATGATCGCTGGATCCGCTAGGTCGGACAGATCCCACAACTATCTGTCGCCGTACCGGCTGGACGATACCAACTACAAAAGTGGTATGCGATCCAATCAGCCAATTGAGATGACCATCGATACACAGCGAGCAATCGCCGCAGGATGTGTGTTCTTCGTCACGGAGACCGATGGTGTTCTCACTCGCGACAATGTGCCTCCCGACTGTGTGCTATCCGCCGTCGACACCAGCAAGAAGAATAAGAACCTCCCGCTCTATGTCGCCGAGCCCAAAGAAGCCGCCCGCGAGGGTGAGCCAGAGCGCATTTTCCGCGCTAAGCGCGACTACGAGGAGGCTGCAACAGCAAGCTCATCGTCGGCACCGCCTCCAAAGCAGGCGGCTATCGCTCCCAAAGCGATCGCTTCCAAGAAGATGCCGAAGGTGGCTCCCAAGCCCGCCGCCATCGTCGAAAAGGACGAGGTTATGGACTTGGATGAAGCCACCCGCGAGGGTGAGCCTGCTGATGCTGCTGGATTCGCTCCCGACGAAACCGAGGTTGAGGTTGAGGTAGATGAGGGCGATACGACGGATGCGGGTGAAGATGAGCCATATCCACTTGGCTCACACCCATGCCGTGAGTGCGCAGCAGTCGTTGCCAATGGCATGCTGTTCTGCCTCCGTTGCAAGGCTCCCCAAACGGATGACTCAAAGAAGATCACAAAGCGAGTCTTCGAAAATTCGAGACTCCGCGAGCGCCTCCTCGCCACCGCAGCAACCGGAGCCCAGAAGCCCATTGATGACCTCCTTGCGAGCGATCTTCGAGGCCTAGGCGACGGACCAAAGAAGCGTGGTCAAATGAGTGCAGAGGCAGCTGCGATCCGTGATGCCAAAGACCGAAAGATCAGGGCTGCGAAGTTGAACTTTGATACCGTGTCGGATCGCTTTGAGAAGGACGCGCAGTTCAACGTGAGGATGATGCAAGAGGGCCGCAACTTCGAGGACATGCAGAAATTCGACCACCTGTCGAACGATGTGCTTCCCGATCCAGGACGCAGCGAGGAGCAGCGCTACTTGCGTGCCGGCTCCCATTATGGTGGTGGCAATGTCCCGCCTGCGAAGTTGGTTTATTATGCCCACTGCGAAGTGGAGCCGTTGAGGAACTTGCGATTCATCGATGATACTGCAGATGTTCCCATCGGCTTGACATACCTCGGCGCATTCCTCCCTCCGCGACTCTATGCTGAGGTGGCAGCAGTGAATGACGCTGCAAAACGGATCCTGACTTTCGATGGCGAGGTCTATGTGTCGGCTACTACAACTGAAGGCATCACAACTGAGATCGGCCAAATTCTTACCGATAGCCTCCGTAGTGCTCAGAACCAGACAGACCAAACGGAACGTTTGGCAGAGCGCAATCGCCAGGCTGCAGTCCAGAATCGCCCATCCCAAAAGGGACGCGGTCGCACGACAGCACCCGAGCCAATGTACAGAGGCTATACTCAGGCCCAGTGGGACGAGTACTATCGCCAGCGCCGTGGAGGTTACACTCAGGCCGAGTGGGATGCATGGAACCGCACCCATAGGCGCTGAGTCCTCATTTTGATTTGCTTCGGACCTGCAGGGCTTCCCCGCTGTGCTTTATATATGCTCGCTTTGGCAAGTCTTTCACAAACGTTGAAGCCCAGGGCAACCTGGAGCCATGTACTATCCGCCTTAGCTTGAGCAACACGGCGAGGGGGGTGTAGATTTTACCCTGCCTCCATTGCTATTTCTATGGTCCTTAGCTATGTCTTTACCCGACGCGTACTCGGCCCAAGTCTCCACTGGAAAAGTCCACAGGGTTGACTTAACGGTACCTAGCCGTGCTAAGCTGTTAGCCTGAGAATCTTCAAGTCTCCTAAACATCCGTTTACATACCGTGCCATAGCCTGCGTGACACCTTAGTGGGTCCCATGTAAACTCTTTTCACCATCTTGAATCTCGTTCCACGGCCAACTTAACACCCTCCCGAAATCCCACTAAATTTCGTCTAAACGTCGTCGCATCTTCTTCAGTCCTGTTCAATGCCTTCGTAGCACCCTCTCAAACATGCACTGCCGGAGGCCCAGGTGATTTGCTCCACGTTGTCGGGTTGTGGATCCGGCCACTGGGCTGGGAAAGGGTTAGTTTACTTTTGGTTTCGGGTTGCAAGCTCTCGTGTTTAGGATTACATAGGGTTACAGTGTAGGATATATGGATTGAGGGTTTAGATTGGGCGTTGATGTTGGGCTTTGGGGATTGCGACCTGGGATGTGGGTATTTAAGGTTAAGCTGTAGCTTTCGGGGTTATAGTGCAGGGTGTTTTGAGGGTACCAGCATTCTTTGCTCCAGAACTCTTGTTGACAGTCTTGGGTCGTAGGGCCGGTGGATTTTCAGGATGTAGGGTTCCCAGAGCCTCCAAAACCACTTAATTAAGGAATATACCTTAAAATCGTATTAGGGGTCCTATTATAAGTTAAGGTATATTCCTTAATTAAGGGGTTTTGGAGGCTCTGGGTTTTGGGTTTCAGGGTTAGGGGTTTAAGGCTCCTAGGTACTTCTGTGAAGCTGTCGGGGCCCTTGTTGCATTGAGGAGATGCCAAGTGTTTCAGGTGCCCAGACCCCCGAGAGGATCTAGAAAGTAGATCCCCTAATTTGGGGCCCTACTTAAAGGATCGTGGGACTTAGTAAGTAGAGATATAATTAGGGTAACTAAACTTATAACCCCAATTAGGGTACTTATAACCTTAATTCCTTACTAAGTCCCATGATCCTCCAAGTATACTACTCAGGGTACTTTTTGGAACCCCCATTAAGGGATCTATTTTTTGGATCCTCCCGGATGTCTGGGTGCGTGACAGAGGTCGGAAGCCCGAGCCCTCTTAACGAGCAAGATCCGCGGTGCGGCTTCGAAATCAGCATAGGGTTTTTGGGGTAATGATACTTTGGTTGGGCAAATGAATACAATTCCGCGTGGTGGTTATGACAAGGCTTAGGGTATCTTAGGCTGCTAGATGCTCTTTCACTGTTTAGGGTGCACGCTGGTACAACTGTCTTCTGACGGCATTCGTTGAACCCTACACAACTTTGTGAACCTGTGTGCCTTTCTCGTATTTAGCCGTTATGACGAATCACAAGCACCGCTTGGTTCACGCTCAATCACGGCGGCGTCGCTTGCAGCAGCAAAGGGGGGGCACTACACTCAACAAAAAGCCCTAAACCACAGGCGCTAAAACCTAAACCCTAAACCCTATAACCTATAACTCTATAACCCTAAATCCTAAACCCTAAACCCTAAACCCTTATAGCCCTACATCCTAAACCCTATAACCCTGTAACCCTAAGCCCCAAACCCTAAGCCGGCTCCACAGGTAATCTGCCCGCCCAAAGGGGCTTTTAGGACGCTTCGTGCAGACTGAAAAAGGGCCCTTTAAAAAAAAACCTATAACCCTAAATCCTAAATCCTAAAACCCTAAACCCGGAACACTAAGCCCGAAGCCGGCAGGCATCCTCACCGACCTCACCTTCGATCTGGTGCTCATGGACGAGGCCGCGCCCAACCCGCCACACAACGAACGCCTAAAACCTAATGTAGGAACCCCTGGGCCTAAGGGTTCCTTTAAAGGGGCCTGGAAGGGTTACTATAAGGGATCTAGAAGGGTACTATATTGTAGGAATCTGATGAAGCATCCCCAGGCCTATAACCCCAAAATTGTAGGATTCATACAAGGAACCCTAATAAAGGCCCAAGGTTTCTTAATCAGGTTCCTGCATTACCTTTTGTTCCTACATCTGCTTGCATAGGAGGTAGTCCAGCTACTGTCAGCAAGCAGGGCCTCACTAGTGTTGTTATGTACCATGATAAAATGCACCATCAACCTACCTTTTTGTTAGGATCCCTACATGTTTAGGGCTTAGGACTTAGGGTTTAAGGGTTACATATTCTGTGTCAAGGCTTTTTAACCTACAAACGCGGGGTATGGTGTGTTCATACAAAATCGCAATGGGTTGCAGCTTTTGTAACGGGTCTGGGAGGCTACAGAGTGTGGCCGTAATAAATGCCAATACTATTCTTCTGCGGGCGTTCCTGACTATAACTATATTCTAAACGGCCCCAGAGCCTTATTCTAATTATCAAGGCCCCTGTCTTACAGAGTGTGAGGCTGCAAGGCAACTGCTTGAGCTGAATCTGTTGAGGACTAGTTAGTTTCTGCAGTTGCTTGAGTTTTCCTCGCATCTCGGGGCGAGGGCCTTCACCCTTAACCTCATCGACCGGCACGCAAAACTGCATGTTCATGGCTTAGGGTTGCAGATTGTAATTTAGGGTATTGGGTTGATGGCTGAGGTTTAGTCATATTCAAGCACCAGCGGCTGTTGATGTGATGATCTTTTGTCAAAGTTTCGGACAGGCAATGTGTAATTTGAGGGGCAGCGGTTTAGGGTTCACGGGTTCATGGGTTTGGGCTTCGGGGAATGCCGGGCTTGGGTTGCTGTTAAAATATTCGAATCTGCGAAATGCCTCTTGTTAGATCCACAAGCAGTCATATCCCCAAACCCTGAACCCCTAAGGCATAAGCCCTAAGCCCTACACCCACTTTCAAAGACGTCACCGGGGCGCTGACTTGTCGGCGCTTGTTGGGAGTGGGGTTTAGACTTCAAGGTCAAGGATTTAGCATGGGTTGGGCAGGGAGGAATCTTGGTGATGAGCTGTGCAAGCCGAGTGTGGAGATTTGAGCAACTTTAGCAGCATCGGAATCTGGATGGTGAGTCCCTGCATGCAACTTCCATACGGCACGATTATGGGCAATACGATTCGTGTGAGTATCGGATCTTCGAAAAGGAGTGAAGCGCGACGCCCACCACTGGCCCACCTTATATAGAAGACGCGACAATTACCAATTTCATTCCTTCGGGCTTCCTAGAATTCTGGTTATAAGCAATTACACGTATAGTTGCACTGATAATAACCTCAGTTTCTAAGTCGCAGGATCCTTTAAGCGGATCCTAAACCCTAAAATATGGAACCCTAGATTACCCTTAATCGGAATGCTGGTCTACAACACTGTAGTACTTTCAAACGGATCCTTCAAGTAGCTTGGAACACGGCTGGCTCGTCCCAGCCAGGCCGGGCAAGCGACGGTGCCGCACGCGCTCCTGGCCTTTTGCAAGCTAAGAAAGGATGGACGCATTGCCGCGGCCTTAGCACATGTCTTGGTGTTTCCTCATTTTGAGTACAGCATAATGGGCCCCAAAACCCTAATCTAATTAATAATTGCCTCTATATTATAGAACCCTACTATAGATCCCCTATGGAGCCCTTTAAGGAACCCTTTAAAGGAACCCTATTCCAATTATTTAAGGCCCCTAGACGATGGACCTCGACCCCTTCAGGGTTTGGCTTACGGCTTCAGGCTTTGGGGTTTATGGTTTCGGGTTTAAGGTTTAGGTTTGGGGTTTATGGTTTCGGGTTTCAGGTTTAGGTTCGGGGTTTATGGTTTCGGGTTTAAGGTTTAGGTTTGGGGCTTAGGGGTTTTGCGGCGAGTAAGCTGCAGGCCTTGTCTGCACTCCTTACTTTGAGGGGCTTGGACTGGCGGGATTTCTGTCATATTCCCTCTCCGTGCTTGGAGGGGTTTACACGACGTTCTTGCTGAGGGTTTAGTGTTCTCCTTTAACCCTGCCGCTGAGCTTAGGGCTTAGGGCAGCTAGGGGTTAGACATTGAAAGTCAAAAGTTGCTATTCCCGACGCCCTAGAACCTCGTATTCAGCAAGACCCTGGAAAGATTTTTTTGAAATTCCTGAACCCCTTGCACCCCAAACCTTGGACCCCAAAGCATGAAACTCTGAGCTTCATAAACACCTTGGACCCAATATCCTCAAACCGAGCAAGCTCTGAAAGCTAAAGCTCTAATCACAAGAATTTTGCATACAACCCAAGAGTCTAAGAAAGGCCGGGTTGAATAATTACCCAGTGGCGACCCAGGTTTGCCAAGGGCTTAGGGTTTGGGGTTTGGTGTATGCTTCTCACGGTTCAGGGTTTCGGGTGTAGGAGATGATCGTCAGGGAGGGCGAGCTTGGTAATTGGCGCCCTGGGCCCTAAAAGCCACAGCCCAGAACCCGCAAGTAACCCTAGACCCTGAACTAGCGAGCGTCACTCCATTTGCATGGGCGCTCGAGGCTCCGACCGAGGCCCCAGGCCGAGCATCCCGACAGAATGAGGGAGGGTAACGCCTCCCTGCCAGAGCCTGCCACGGCCATCTTAGAAGCCTTTTTCGGCAGCGCTTCCCCGCCAGGGATAGGTGTTTGCACGGCGAGCGGCCCTGATAATATGTGAGAAAATAGGGGACCCTCATATAGTACCCAAAATAGTAGGTTCCTTATGAGAAGGACCTCAAAATAGGGTACCATTATTTTCGGGCACTCCCAGTTGCTTCTCGTTGAGTGGCCGGCACGGACCGCGAGGACCCACAACCCGGCACCTATTATGACGGTTTAGGGTTTAGGGTTTAGAACCCTAAACCCTAAACCGCCAATCCGTCCCAGCTGTGATTTGCTATGGCTATGACATGTGGCCG